TAAATCTCAATAATTTACGCTACTTCAACTAAAAAGCGACGAATTATTAAAAGCCAGAAATATTATCGATATTTTATAAGCTTTGCTTTTGCCGACTAATTTCGCATAAATTCAATGTCGAATATAATCATTTGCACAAATCTCATACATTACTGATTTATTTATCATGAATAATAAGAGGATATGTTTTAGAATATAATTATAAGTTTACATATGAATAAAATTATATATTTATAAATATATGATTTATATGTTTTAGAATATAATTGTATTTATTCTAAAACTATAAATACAATTATATTCTAAAATTGTATTAATATAAATACAGTATATATATTATAATTGTATTAATATAAATCATGTATGTATAAATGTATAATTATGTAAAATTAATCTTAGGAGATAATATAATCAATATTTCTTTAGTAAATAAATTACTATTAACTTACTTTACAGCAATTGCGCAATTAGTAGAATAACTCGATTTCCCACTAAGTGAATTTAAGATCATACAACATTTATATAATTATAAATACGTATATAATTATATATTTATACATATATGATTATACGTTTTAGAATATAATTGTATTTATATTCTAAAACATAATATTTGAAAAGCAAACATGTAAAAAAATTTTAAATGTCTTATTTATGTTCATGGAGACCAAGAATTAATAAAAATTTGTTGTTTTTATTTCAGATACCATTTAGCTGTTGTTTAGTGTAAGTAAGCGATATTTTTATTGCTATTCTCTCTATATTTGTTCACTAGATGGCGATACAAGTACTATTTCTTTTTATTTTTTTGTTTGTTTTTTAATTTTTAAATTTTGTAACGTGGAATATATTTCTTCCTTTAAGCGAAGAATTCCACATCAGATTTATTTAAAAGGCCTAGAGTTAATGATTTCTTGAAAAAAAGAAAAAAAAAGAAAAAAAAAGAAAGAAAGAAAGAAAGAAAAAAGTCCGTTTCAAACTAGGCTGCATTTGCAATAATTATAAATTTCAAAATGGCATGCTATTTTATCAGATTTCCTTAAAGAAATAGTAGCGCATTTAAGCAGTTAATGAATTTTCATTGTGTAATTTTCAGGAAACTCTTTTTCAGAGACTGAAAAGTCCCTTTAGGCCTTTACTGATAAAGGCAAATACAGAAAAAAAGATGGTAATTGGTATTAATACAATAAATTAAAATTTTGTGTTTCTAATAGTCAGTGAATATTAATCATGGAAATACATTATTACAATTCTTCGAAGTGCTTGAATAACATAATTTTCAAAACTAAATATTCTTCAGGTATAAAAATGGAATTTTTAAGAACTTTCATATCACTTTTCGTAACAATTATTTAATTGAAATTGTTTTAAATTGGTAATAATTTCGGCAACTAAAACAGATTAGTTGCTAAATTTGAATGGAATTTTCATGTATCAAATCCGATGATTATTTTATTTTATGTAGATTAGTACTTCCCCTAAATAGATTTATTAAAGAAAATGTGCAGAATGTGTGAAAATTTTATATTTCTCTGATCAGCTTTAAATCAAATAGCTTAAATGCATTTTAAAATGTAAATATTTATTAAAATGGAAGTGGTTTATAAAATTAAAATTTTTAAATTTTCTCTAATTTAGCACTATAGTAGTTTTTAAAATGCCCCCCTCCAAAAAAAAAAAAAAAAAAAAAAAAAAACATTATTTCTTTTAAAATGTTGAATAATCTAAATTGCTGGCAGAAAGTCCGAAATTTCTCTATGATTTTTGTTTGACTCATCAGAAAGTTTCACGTCATGTACTTCTTCATTTGCATATAATTGCACAAATGTACTAATTTATTCAAGCACAAGCATCAAATATAAAATAATTCTCTTTATGTCGTATACAGAGGTTGTTAGCACATTTCTTAGAAGACATTTCTTTGCAATAAAAAAATCGCCTGCTTGGGGGGGGGGGCCGGGGAAAACTAAAAAAAACAAAAAAAAAAAAAAAAAAAAAAAAAAAAAAAAAAAAAAAAAAAAAAAAAAACTAAAAAACTGCAGCTATATTTTTGAAAGTGTAAATTATCGTCTGCTACTTGACAATTTTGTTTTCATGCAAAATGGCGTTTTTAAAGAAGCCATGGATGAAAGGCTGTGTTTGTGCTCTTTCCGATGAAAATTGTTCGTATATATTACAAAAAATGCTGCGAAAGCCATGATTTTTTTGGTTTCAAAAAAGCAATGATATGTCAAAAGTTTAGTGATATTGTCTAAAGCAATGTATTGTCAATAAGAATGAAAAAAAAAGTTTGGCTTCAAAGAGAAAAAAATGTTAAAAATACATATCCAAGGAAAAAACGAAATATTTCGAATATTTCGGTAAGAATTTTAATGTTAAAAGAAAATCTCTTAAGTCAGAAGGACAGTTGCATAATCGTTAAAATGCTCAACGTCAGCTGTAAACAAAGGGATTGTGCTGATTTGAATCTTAAAAAAAAAGGCGAAAAACGTAATGTGCATAGTCTTTCTCCAGGACATATTGCCGGAAGCAGAGGAGATCCAGAAGAGATTCGACCAAACAGATATACAAAACAAAATAAAATAAAACCAAAAAAAGTCTAATAAAACCGCGATTTGTTCAAGACTTTTTTCTTCAAAGTCAAGTCACTTTTGTTAATATAAATTTTAGTTACAGTCACATTCTTGGGAATACATACAGTGTCTCACAAAACTGATCGAGCATAACAATATTTTTACTTTTTTAAGTAATAGGAGGAAAGCTTTGCAGTAAACTAATAAAGAATATTTTCCCTTTGAATACCTATTTTCTTAGCTATTTCTTTGTACTGAATAAATTTGGAAAAACAACATGGTAAATTTAAAAAATAGCATTTTGAAATGAAGTGAAATGGAAGAAAAAGATACCACAAAATTAATCGGACATTTTCATAATTTCTAATTAAAATCATTTGCAATAAATAAAAACGAAATTTAATGGAATTAGTTTGGATAAAGAAGCTTGGCAAAACTCTAAAAATTATTTGCTTTTATAATTTGAATTTTCTTTTTAAAAAATATTCGTTATTTTAATGTTTTCTTGCAATGGCTCGGGCACGAAAGGAAACATCGTTAGAAACCCGCAGATTAGTTACTGATTTGCATCAAAAGAAAGGGAAACCTATTAGAAAAACTGCCTATTTAAAAACTTAATTTAAGTGATTCTACAGTTTTTGTTATTATTAAGCGTTATCAGATAAAGAATCGTATTCAAAACGAAAGAAGACCCGGAAGACCATCTAAGTTATCTCATGGAATGAAACGCTTTATTCTAAGGAATATTCAAAAGAATCCAAGACTGAGTGCTGCTGAACTTGTTGCGAAACTTTGTAAATTATATGGAATATGTGCAAAACCAGAAATAGAGTAATGCGATCTGCAGGATATCATGGACGAGTGGAACGCAGGAACTTTTATAAAATTTCGCCTCGCTTTAGCAAAATCGATGAAACAAAGGTCACTCGACTTCTGGAAAAAGTGTTGTTTCTGGAAAAAAGTGTTGCTGATGAAAGCAACTTTAACATCTTTTGGCTCAGATACACGCCACTATTAGTAGTGGCGTGGAGAGCCTTGGCTAGCCTTGGCTTGGAGAAAAACAAAAAAGGAGTTTCGGTAGCAAAACTTAGTACTAAGTGTTAAAAATTGGCGGAGGATGAGTTATGGTATTGGGATCTATGGCACATTCCGGTGTTGGTAATACAGAGTTTGTAGATAGTATAATGGATCAATATAAATACATTGACAACTTGAAGCGAAATTTGGCATCATCAGCACAAAAACTTAATATACAAAATAGTTTTAAATTCTACCAAGACAATGATCCAAAGTATACTGCGCACAGTGCCATACCCTGCATGTTATATAAGTATCCAGAAGTAATTAAGGCACCACCCCAATCGCCAGATCTTAACCTTATTGAACATATTTGGCAGGAACTAGAATCGAAAATTCGAAAACAGAGCATATCTTCGCGGTAGCAACTGAAAGCAGTGATTGAAGGGGAGTAGCACAAAATAAGCCCAGAAATAATAATAAAAACAAAAACTTGTTGAACTTATAAAAACCTTTCTTTTTGTTTTATTTTAGTTTTTATGTTCATTAAAGAATACCCAAAAAAAAAATCAAAGCGCCCGATCATTTTTGTAAGCCACTGTAATTAAAAATAAAATCGTGGGTCTGCTACTAATAGTGGCGTGTATGTATGTTGTCAACAAACAGTTTTAAGTGAAATGAACATAATCTTTCTCAAGCATGTCATTTATATTCTATTTATTGATCCTTGAAATGTTTTCATAGAGTCCGTATACGGGCCTAGCACAGTTTTATTTTAATCCGATACGACAAATAACACTATAATAGCAGAAATTTCTTTTTTAAAATTTTTTTGCACTTTTCACTGCATTTTATTAAAACTATGTAAAAGCATTTAATTTTGAATTCTAAAAATAAATCGAAAAGCAATTTACTATATTTTTTTCCCTAAATAATTTAGAATATTTCGAATCTTCTAAATAACTAGATTCAAGAATTAAATTTTTCTTTACACATAACAATGTACATATTCATTATATTTTTAATTATTTTTTTCAAATTGTCAAAGTATACCTAAGGAAGAAAAAAGTTCCTTGTTGACACAGATTTAGTAAAATCATTGCTTAACTTTTGTTTCACATTTCACGGAAAGTACTCGAAAACAAAATAACTGATTACGAACTTGCTGACCCCATCTTTGCTCTCCGACTAAAAACTACACTCGAAGACTCGACAAAGTTTTTTTCCTCCCTAGCCACGCGGTAGGGAGGGGGGATAAAAGGGGAGGAAACACGCAACTCCGTCGATCTTTGTGACAGGAGGGAGGAAACAGAAAGAAAAAAAATAAAAGGTGGAACATCCAATGCCGTCGCTCTTCGCAACTGTACGTCACGCTCATCGATCCTTGCGCCGCCTAGTGGGAACATAGAACAGCGGCGATGGAAAGGATTTACTCGTGCAAACATTGCGGTCGTAGTTTGTCGAGCAATTCGCTGTAACGTCCATCTTGGCTTCGGTGTGGCGGCATCGAGCGATAAAAGATCATGGAGGGCCACGAGAGGCCCGTGGCCCACGTCTCGTGCCTTTATCCCGAGATTCTGGCCCTCATCTTCAGCTATTTGGACGTACGAGATAAAGGACGCGCCGCGCAAGTGTGCGCTGCATGGCGGGAAGCGGCGTACCACAAGTCCGTATGGCGGGGCGTGGAGGCGAAATTGCACTTACGAAGATCCAATCCTTCTTTGTTCCAAAGCCTCGTACAGCGTGGAATACGACGCGTTCAAGTGCTTAGCTTGAGGAGAAGCTTACGCGATGTGGTGCAAGGCATTCCGAATATTGAAAGCCTTAACCTTATAGGGTGCTACAATTTAACAGATATGTGGTTAACGCAAGCCTTCGTTCAAGATGTTTTGACATTGACTGTGCTCAATTTAAGCATGTGTAAACAGATAACAGATTCGAGTCTAAGGAAAATATCCGAGCATCTGAAAAATCTCGAAGTTCTTGATTTGGGTGGTTGCAGTAACATAACAAACACTGGCCTGTTGCTTGTGGCATGGGGACTGAGAAAGCTTAAAAGTCTGAATCTCCGTAGCTGTCGGCACGTGTCAGATGCTGGAATAGGCTACCTAGCGGGATTGAGTTCCGATATCGCCGAAGGTACGTTATCCATCGAACACTTAGGACTGCAAGATTGCCAAAGGTTGACAGATGACGGTTTGAGGCACCTAAGTGTCGGACTCCATAATTTGAAGAGCATCAATTTAAGCTTCTGTGCCAGCGTTACCGACTCTGGACTCAAACATCTAGCGCGTATGGGCTCATTAAGAGAACTCAATCTTCGAAGTTGTGACAGTGTTTCCGATGTGGGCCTTGCTTATCTAGCCGAGAACAATTCGCGAGTAACTGTACTAGATGTCAGTTTTTGCGACAAAGTGGGTGACCAAGGTTTACTTCACATTTCTCAAGGCTTGTTTAACCTCCGTAGTCTCAGTTTAAATGCCTGCCCCATCAGTGATGAAGGTTTGGGCAGGATAGCCCGAACATTGACAGATTTGCGCACATTAAACATAGGCCAATGTAGCCGAATAACTGACAAAGGCCTAAGCTTGGTGTCTGAGCATTTACATCGACTTTTATGCATAGATTTGTATGGATGCACAAATATTACGACTGTTGGTCTAGAAAAAGTGATGCAATTACCTCAACTTAGTGTCCTTAATTTAGGTTTGTGGCAAAAAAGGTGACATCTACTTTGCCTGAACTTAGCTAGTGCTTGTGCCATTTTAAAGGATATATTTTTGTGGGGACCATCCTATCAACCATTACCAGGGATATATTTCATAACCAGCTGTAACGTATGATAAGGTAAACTTGTGAAAAATTTTAAACTCTTTCAGTATTCTGCATTTTATAATTATTCTTGAATGACTTAAGTTCATGCCTCTGTCAAGAAAATAAGTTGTTAAAATTATATTTCACTTCAAAATTTTGTTGAAATTGTTTATTGGCATATTTATGTTTCAGTTAATATTTGTGACTATAATAATATAAGTTTTATGCACATAATTTCATTTACTTGACCTAATGTTAGGGTGGGTTTCAGTTTTGAGAGAAATTTTTCATATAAGGTGGGATTCATTTATTAAAAATAGCTGTTTTGTGAAATGTCCTCTATCTTAAATGTTTTAAATTTAACATATTTTTTTATTATCTGCTTATAAGGTCCTAAATTTCCTATTGAAAACTGCAAAAGTATGTATAATATTTCTTTAATTGTCTCATGTAGTGAGCATAAAATAAGTATGATTTCAGAATTTTTTTTTTATATTTTCCCTTGTAATTAAGATTATATAAAATGCAGATTATTGATAGAGCTAATGTAAAAAAATATGAAATTTTTGCTCTTGTGTATCAGATTAAGTTACACAGTATTTTCTAATGTAAAATTTTTTATATTTAACATTTGCTCAGGAATGCAATATTTCATTTTGCTCAACTTATTACATACACTTGTGTTGCTATTATTACCAGTCTTTTTCAGATGCGCTAATTCCATATTTTGATAACTTTTCTCTCCTTTCTAATGTTTTTTATTGTTATCCCTAATTTCCAGATGTTGATAGTAAATCATTGCCCTCAGAATGTTTTCAGTTCTGTATCAAGTTTTTACCAGATAAGGCAGGGTATGTTATGTAAGAATTCAGATTTTCATTTTTTCTCATGTTATCTTTGATCATTCAGCTGCTTCCTTCCTAATGAGGAATAAAAATAATTGAATAATGAAGTGATATTTAAAAAATATCATGCTGTGGTATTAATCTTATTTTGCAGCTTGGCATACTGTGATATTAACTTTTCAAACATTTAATGTTCATTCTGTGTTAAATAATTTTTGTTGATATCTGAATCATTTGTGTAATGTATTTTATTAAAATAAATATCATAACTTGCAGAATTTCTTGTTAAGTTACCTAAAAACCAAATTTTACTGATTTGTGTAAATAATTTTTCTCTTCTAAAATAAATATTTTTTAGAGTATGTCATCTTTTAATTTTCATGAAATAATGTAATGTAAATAATTCTTTGTTATTTTAAAATCTGACTGTGTATGTTTGAAGAGGAATAAAAAATTTAATTTTGTTATTTATTTTATAGGAGTACGTAATTCTTTTTATTGAAATATATCCATATTAAGATTTTAAAGAAAGCATGCTTAAGCTCTACTATTATGTCAGTTCATCTTTGTTTTATATGAGAGTTATATATTATTCATATAATTTTATTTTGTACAGAACTTAATGTAGTACATAGTTTACGTATGTGCCCTGGAAATTTTGGTATTGATAATTAAAAATTATATCTGATGATAAATTTATCGGGAAAAGTGCAAAATCACCCACTGCTTGGCACGTTTTTAAGAACTGCACATACACGGTATCCATGTACACATCGACTTTATTTTTACTTTAAAAAATTGCCAGAACTGCCCAAAAATGGCATTGTGCACTCTCTTGACTTTATCCATGTACACATCGACCTATTTTCATTAAAAAGTCAAAGAAAATTGACAAAAATCCAATTCTTCTTACTCCTGTAAAAAGCACCAAACCAATAAGTGGGAATTATGCACTTTACCCAATTTATCTTTAATGCATCTTGTTTGTAATGTAGCTGTTATCAAAAGTTATTATCTTCTATAAGTTGCATATGTATTGTCTAAGAACTTCAAAGATATGTTCTGTACACTAAGAATTTCAGTTTTGTTTCTTACTTAGTTGGAATTTAAATCCTTTTTTATATAAAACTTTCTAAAAGCTTCTTTGAAATATATAATTAGGCAGGTATTTTAAATTTGAAGAGAAGGAAGAAGTCACTTAAAATTGTGTTCCATTCAAAGAAAGAAGAATGTTTACACAAAGCTGTATAAAAGTATAGGAAAATAAATGGTCCTTTGCATCCTCTTCAGAATTGAACTTGTTTCTGAAAAATAATAATAATAATTGCAATTTAGTTTAAGTTTTGTACAATGTTAAGTTTTGAATTATAGGAATTAAAAGAGTTTAAAATGTAAGCATATTAGGTGTAACTTCAAAATTATGGTTTTATTTTATTGAAATATGTGCATCGGTGAGCAGAAGGAAGGTATAATTGAGGAGTACAAAACCATTAACAAAGGGTATTGCAAGTAATATACTATTTTATCTTTTGTGAGGGAGGAGGCAGCAATATAAGTTGTTTAAAATACTTCATATTTTAAGTACAATGAAACCTCCTATGGCAACTATCTTCTATAAAAGGTTTAAATGCTCTAAAATTGATGAATATGTCTGAGACCATAATTATAGCAAATTCATGATATAATTCACCTGAAAAGTACATAAATTACGTTAATAATATGACAATTTTTGAAAAGTTTGAAATTTTAAAATGAAGTTACTGGTAAATATGTCTAAAAATTTGTAATTCTTTAGAAAAAAAGGAATTCCTGTTTTTGTATCTCTATGATCCTCTGAAAGAAAGAAAGCTATGTTAGATCGATTTTTTGCGAGTCTTAAGTTGTTTCTTAAAATAGATTGATTTTGTATTCAAAGAAGAAAAGTTTTCTGTGTTTTATAATTTTCCCGATTTTGTATTCAAAGAAGAAAAGTTTTCTGTGTTTTATAATTTTCCCATTATGTGAAAAAATATGCAAATTGTGTTAATAGGAATTTTGTTCAATATCTGTATTGAATAAAAACTGTCTTCATTAGATTTTTAGGAAGCATGCGAATGATCATTTCTCTTGTAAGCAATATTTTGTAATTGTTTATGTATTTAAGCAGAGCTTTATTGAATTGTAACCAAGAAAATTGATTTTTATTATCTGTTTTTTAGAAGTGATTATCTCATTTTCACTGACCATTCCGAAATATTCTTTTACACAGTGAATTGTATATTATGTAGATTGAATGTAATTTGTGTACATAAAAAAAAAAAAAAAAAAAAAAAAAAAAAAGCAGCACAGAATTAAATGATATGCAGATGAGGTGCTTATTGTTCTATGAAAAATCCAAAGGCCTTATACTTTGAAACTAAGTACCAACAAAGTAAATTTTGTTATATAAAATGTTGGCGTTTGTTTTTATTTCCTTCATGATTCAGTTAAAATCTGCTACAATATGCAAAACTTTTTAAGGAATGGGAAAAAATTTACTGAAATATAGGATGAAAACTGTATTTGATTAGTTAGAATTCAAGCCAATTTTTAAGTATTAATTTCTTTCTTGATAGTGTGAAGATACATTATTGATGTTTTGACTGTTTTGAAGGGTTTGTGTTTTCAGCTTTTAGCTTACAAAATGGTAAATAAATTAAATCAGTTTTATAAACAATTTATTTTCATATCAGTAGCAGAGAGCAAATTATAAAAGATTTAAAAATTGATAGAAAAAAAAAGAATTTTAATTAATGTGTTCAGCATTTTATTGGTACATTTTGTAATAAAAAATTAACAGCAACACATCTGGATTGCTTAAAAATTGTGTCATATTTAAAGCATATAATCATAAAAAACTGTTTATTTCTGTAATTTAAAGGGTTTTTATAATGAAACTTGTAAACATGTATTTATGATGTCCAGTAGTCCATCTCATAGACAGAAAAAGGAAAAAAAAAACATTTTTATACTTTTTCTTGATTAAAAGGTTTATAATAAATATACAAAAAATTTTCATTAGCTATGAGCATAGATAACATTATTTCTGAAACTTTGCAACTCAGATGTGAAAGGTTAAATTAACTTTCCAGGTTGCGGAAACCATAATTATTCTGTAGGATTAGTAAAATATTAATTTGTAATCACTAAAAAATATTTCGAAGTAGTTGGTTACTTTTGTTCCTTATTTCCTAATCAGATATTGGTGTATGCAACAGAATATCTAAAATTATGTAAATCGTATCAAATTAAATATTTAAATTTTTCATACTTTAATTATAGCAGAATGTGAATTTTTGAAATAGCTGGTTTCTAAAGGACATGCATTTCTATTTTGCAGTGTTTACTTATATACTTATTTATGTTTTGTTAGCAGTTTGAATCTATTGAACATCATATTAGTTTCTAGTCCAGTAAATATAAATTTAAAAAATTAATCTGTGTGCAATTTATAATTGTACCAATGGCTTTGTTTCTGTACATTATAAATAGTTATCTATAATAAATTTACCAAAACATAAAGCAGATTAATATAAGAGGTAAGAAGTAATTTAAATTTTTGAGATTTCTGTATGCTTTGAATTGAAAATAGTTGAAGAATAAATCAGGAGTCTAAAATATGCTGTAATTATGTATATACATTTTATATATTTCATAATCATATTTTCTTAGAATAATCATCTTCCTTTGTATTGGATGTTTTTTTGAGATGCATATTACAGGGGAAGATTTATTCAAAATCTATTTGATTCCATTTTCAGAAGAAAAGGCTTTTTTAAAGGCATTGGAATTAGTCTTTTCCATATTTCTGTAATTTCATATGCAAAAACATTGTTTGCATTAAAATTAGACAAATTTTTATTAATTGGTACATTTAGAAGTGTTAATTTGTCAAAAGTTTAGCTAGTTAAAGTCTTAAGTTTTTTTAATAATGTCGTGAATGAAATTTTTAATCATGATAGAAGAAAAAAATGATAGATGGTATCTAAGAATTTTCAAGTTTTTAAAAGATGTGTTTATTTTAAAAGTTTTAGTATTAGTATATTGTATATTAAATTTTTAACACTATGAGAATTTATTTAGAGAGAGATTCTTAGGTAAGAAAAAAAAAGAAATAATAAAGTAATGGTGTATCCAGAAATTCTCAGGTTTCTGAAAAGTATATTTTTGCTTAGTTATGTTAAGAGAAAAATTAATCCCCCTTTCTAGTTTTTAATAGTATGAGATGTTTATTTGTTGGGTGGGAATCAGCAAAGAATGGCAGGATATTAATTTTTCATACATAAGAATTATTTGCACCTAAGCAGTTTGTTATCTTGAGGTGTTTTCCGCGTATTGGGGATTTTAGGATTGAATTGTCAGTTCCAGGTTTAGATATTATCAAAAATAGAAAATAAAGGTATTATTTATATTTTCTTATGTGTTTGCTGATAAATGCTGAAGGTGGTAGAGATCGCCTAAATAAATAAATCTTATCGCATAATTCGGTCGTCTAATTCTTGCTAGGGAAATCGAAAATACTAATTCGAATACTAAGAAATCATAACTGACTATAAAGTTCGGTAGTTTTGTGAAAAGGAAAGTTAAAGCAATTAATTTTCGAAGTACAAAATGTAACCGAAAAAGAAACAAACACATCAATGTAAAATTTAAACTCTTGAAGTAAAAAGGGGAAAAAAGCGGATAGCGTTGGGTTATCAGAACGGTCCTTGTGAAAATAGCGGATAGCGTTGGGCTATCAGAACGGTTCTTTTTTTTCTCCCATTTTAAAGGCCGAATTTTGGACATCTTGGCTTTGTATGCTGCGATGGCGTCGACGTTAGATATTTATTCATTTTCTTTTTTGGTTTCTAATTCCCCCCTTGGTAGTAAAATTATTGACACGAAACTGATGCGCATTTTGTTTATTGGCTTATAGTTAGCTTTAAACTACAGTCGTCAAAAAATTGTTTGGAGTCGGTTAAAAGGAAAAAGTAACAGAAAGGTTCAAAATCGAGTTCATCTCTACATTCCAAATGTCAGAATGTGATTCATAATCATATAAATTCTGGGAAATTCATTATTCACCACTTTAGTCACGAAATTGTTATAACCTCAAGGCCATAGTCGAAGGAAATCAGATAAAGCAAGGAAAGATTTTTGCCATAATTTTAAATATGGCGAACCTGTATTATAGCATTAAAAAAAAAAGATTCTGATATGGAAACACCACATGACTTCCTTGTACGGCCTATTAAGTTATACACATTATTTGCTGCAATTCATTTAAACTTAACCGATCCCTTAAAGCAAGTTCAAAACGATATCATAAACTGCAAATTTTGAAATTGAATGAATTTTTGCCATATTTGTCGAAAGTTCTAGTATTTTTATTTTTTTCATTACGAGTATAAAACAGGAACCGAGAGACCGGATTAAAAGTTAGGTTTTATTATTTGTCTCCATTTTTTTTTTAACATTGCTGAACATGAATATTTTCGTCATTTGGAACACGTCCGTAATTTGAACTACATGGCTACCACTAACGATTGTGGAATAAAGAACTGGTAAGGAAGGTGGATATATTATATATATATATATATACACTTTTAGTATAATGTTCTACGGCTGATCATTTTTGAGTTACGCGAGATAAATGCAGACGTCAAGAAAAAATTAATTCTAAATCCGTTTAAAAAAAATTTCTTTATTCTGTACTTAAGTACGTCGAGTAAAAAAGTAGTCAAAATGAATTCAGGGGCGGTCGTAATGGATATTTCCGCTGAAATATGATACCGGAAACTTTTCGCGATTACAGTACTTCCTTTACTTCTTACAAGGAAGTGAAAATAGCATATGTAGAATTGCACATAAGACCACACACACACACAAAAAAAAAAAAAAAATGCCTGAAAGCTTTCAGATTTTACATTACGCCCAAAGGGGCGTTTTTTTTCTTTTTGCTTTGTGCGTGTTACCTTTATTTATTAAAATTCAATTCAACAGTAATATCGCAAAATAATATTAAAATGAGCATATATTTAGAATTTCCGATTCACAGTCTCGCGCGCTGGAGATAATTTTTTTTTTTTTTCCCCCCATATAGTGTTGCCATTGCGTGCTTTGAAATCGTTGATTCTTTTAATCAAAAATTCGTTAAAAGTGTTACAAAATATGAAATCGATAATAAAACAAATTCCGGCTTCCAGATGCCCACATTCGGTTGAAGATTACGTTATTCAAAATGTGATGGCTCTAGGTACCGTTGTTTCATACGAGAAACATACATACATTAATGCAGGTTCTGCATTATTCAATATCTTTAACTATAACACAGGGTGAAAATATTTGGTAGCAACAATTAGAAAAGTGAACCGACACAAGTTTTCGTTGCAAAATGCCAAAACGAAATTAATATCCCTTCTTAGCTAACGCCCTTTGGTCTTATAAATAAATGAATAAAAATTTAAAACATACATTTGGCGTAATTTTTATAAAGTAACAGTTTTTCTCTATGAGTAATACAAATCTAATAAAAGAATAAAATGCATATAATTCAAAAGCGAAATATTTCAGGGATTTTCTTTCCGAAATTAAATTGCGTTGGCTTTAAACTTCACATCTAAAAGGTTCATAAATTATCAACTTAATGGCGCCAGGAATTGTTGCTGCGAAATCATTTAAATGCATTTGGCGACTTTTATTAGCAGTGCGAATCTTCTCCATATAGTGCAAAAATTGATATCTGCAATAGTGATGAAATATGCGAATCGCTTTATAAATTTAAACTACTCAAATATAAATTGCATGATGGGAAAAAGTTATGTATACCTACTTATTTAGTAAGAAATACGGATACCTTCATTTCTCGATATTTTGATTTGGCTCATCTAGTTTTTCAGTTTAATGCCATTTGTTTTTAAAAGCGTTTGTAAACCACTCAATATTGATATGATGCAGATAACGCATTGCTGAAGCAGTTAATGATTTATTAACCATTACAAAGCACGGATTTGTGTGGACCATATAACAAAGAAAAACTCTGACAAATGGCGTGTTCACAACCTATGACTAATTTACCAGCAGCCTCGTGTTAAACAGCAGTTTAAAAGTTAGCAACCATACGGTCTATCTTTTTTGTCTGCTTCGAACTTTTAGCACGTAAAGAAGCATCTAAAATTTGTAAAAGGCATCGGTCGAAGCTTTCAGGATGTTTGACCGTGTGAAGACGATGCGCCTTCAACTGTAAAAGAAAACCGCTTTAAACTTTTATCTTAAAATTCGAAATTCGTACTTCTACAAAATAATTTTTAGTGAATTCGTTGGTATTATATTCCATCTGCACAAATTTTGATTAGTTTATTATTTACTAATACTAAAATCGCATTCAGATAGAGTGTTAATGAAAGGCTTAATAACGGATTTGCATATTT